ACTGGCTAATCTTCTCTGAAGTGATTCCTTTCTATAAACGTTGAAGATGAGAGGTTGTGCATCATCCGGGAACGAGGCAATTCTCCGACATGCAAGAAAGAGTGTACACATGCTGAAACAACAAACGCCCCTACGTTTCACTCTTATCTGAACCACAGGCACAAGTCCTCTTCAAAGTCACCGCGATAACACTCTGAGGCGGTACCGACCGGTCGAGCGTTTTTTTTTTAACAAATGGCTCCCCCCTCCGCCATATTTAACAAACATCAGGTGAGACAAGAGGCCTCATGGAGCGGCAGACAAGAGGAACGCGGCCATTAAAATAGCAAACAGCCGCTCAGAGCACGGGGCGTTTTGTCGCACGGGGCTCGCTTCACCTTGGTGCTGTGAGAGGGATGTTGATGGTGTGTCTGTTTGATTCAGATGGAAAGGTAAAAAAAACAACAACAAAAAAAACAGGTGTGTGTGAGAAATCAGCGGTGTCTGCTAACTGTGCAATTACCTAACCAGGGAGACGTATAGTGATGGCTTCAGAGCATGCTCAGGATACTGATGCAGAGTGCCTGATACTTCACAGGGATAGGACTATCAGAGAGCACAGAACTACGGCAATCCCAACAGACCATTCTTCTATGATATATGTTGATACATGGTGTAAACCAAAACTACAAACTCATTGTCTCATAAAGGATAGTTACAGTGTAGAGCCTGTTAAGTATAATTTAACCAAATGACAAAAGATCCCTCTGTGCACGCTTACTTTCAGGAATTATCTTTAGCTATAGAGACCAGCAGGTTTAATGCACTTCCAGAGGAAGACAGAGATTGTTTGTTGAGTGAGTCAGGTGAATTTCATTTTTTTTCTGTCCCACCTATTGGTTGGGCACTTCGGGTGCATCACACATGCACATTTGGAAGTACAACCATAAAAGATGAAAGTAAACGGACTTGAGTTTGTAAAGGGCTTTTTTTCTTGTCTTCTGACTATTCAAAGGGTTACCATGGATACTGCATGACAACTTTGTCAGTTCATAACTCATATCACAAAAAGAAAGAAAGAAAATGGGGTCACATGCCACAATGAAAGAGCATCGTATGATACTTCAGTTCAGAATATATTCATGATAATTAAGCTGGAAAAAAACACGAGGAAGGAACTTTTATTGGTGAAAATAAGATATTATGTGATCATTACATCTGTCTCAGGGGAATTGATTCAAAGGGGGGGTGTGTGGGGGGGGGGCGCAGCGAGAGGGGAAGAAAAACATGAAACAGAGGAAATCCTTCAGAGGATTTGGACTGGTTGAGAACCAGGTGAGGGAAAAATGAAAACGCTAACAAAGACAAAATTATCAGCGGATGTATCTTTCTCTCCTCCTTGTTTGGCTGTATCTAATGGCCGGCTAAAAATACCTCAAGATCAAGGAGGGTTCTGTCAACAGCACAAAAAAGGACGTGATGAAAGAGCGGACTTGATTCAAGGCCTGCCGCTGTCGTGTTAATGGATTATTACACAGCTCTGTTTTCTCCAGTATCCCTCTTTGAATTGTTTAAGTACGTAAAAGTCTGATGTTAATCTTAGCAAGTAAAAAACAGCCATTATTCATTCTTACTATTGATGATTAAAGTTGTCAAACATCAACCAGCAGGTCAACATTTAAGCTCCTGTGACCAACTGGTTATGAAACAGACCGAAATGAACACTGATGCTCCTGTATGAACAGCAGACGAGACCCATCACTTTCAAGATCGCTCATTTCTATATACCAGTTTGAATGCCTAAAAACGCTGCTGCAGGGCAGGTGTCAGACCAAGTCTTGAACTGCACACTGCAGAGACAGCCTTTTTTGTTTTCTACAGCAAATATTTTTTTGTTTAAAATACTACTGAAACACGGAAGAGTCACCGCTTTGTCCACAGGGGGTCGCAAAAGTTGACACAAATCAAAAAGTTCCTCTCAGGAGCTTTTAAAGACACGATCCAGAAAGAGCTGTCTCATGTATTTTGTTTTACTCCTAGAGTTAGGTAGGCTGTTGTCGTTTTTTATTTCTCAGATCTGACTGACATTCAAAATAGAAAAAAAAGAAGATTTTATGGGGTTAAATTTCTGCATGACCCTGCAAGACAGAGAGCTACCGCAGGTCTTTCATTCCATCTGTAATCAGACTCTTTAATCAGACTCTTTACCAGCATCACCACTCATATCAATAATGCTACACACTGTGTGTGTTTTTTAATAATAATAACTCTTCCCACAAGTGGAAGTGTACATACCTGGTATTATTCTATTATTGTTTTTTTCCTCCCCTTTATTTAACTGATGTACATATGTTTGATGTTTAACTTCTTGTTATTTTTGATAATTATCTTCCTGTTGCCTGTTTCTTGAGCTGTTGTGACGAAAAAATTTCCCCCCATGGGGGATCAATTAAGTTTATCTTTATCCTTATACAGCTCTTCTTAAGATTTTATCAGGGACATTCAGATTTCGGATTCATTATCTAATATGGAAAGAAGGTTTTGAAACTTTTGCTGTAATTGGCCCCTCTGGTAGTGTAAGAAACACACTTCATATGTTTTCCCAGAGAGCGAAGAACAGATGTCACCTTCCAGATGTGAACAGCGCTCTCACAGTTTGTGATGTTTAACAGGGCTCGCTGAAGCGCGATCGATTTGTTTACAACTTCCGTGGGTCACAGCTAGAATTGGCGGCAAATCAGCCCCCCTGAGAGACTCCTCATCCTTAAGCACACATGGGGGGGGGGGGGCCCGTAGCTAAAAACAAACACTGACACCAAGCCAGACTGTCAGCGAGCGACCCAGAGGAGTGGCATCGTCCTGTCACTAATATAATAAATACGGGGTTTCAGCTTTCTAATTACAGCCAAAAGACGGAGGGGAAGGCTCGGAGATTTTACGATTGGAATTACATTTAACAGCTGTGTTATTTCTAGGAGCAATCTTACATCCTTGTGATTGGAGGAGACAGCCTCGTCAGGCATCAGAGAAGAAGAAAATCCAGCTCATTAATCCTTCAGCTGTAAGGACTCCTCACATCTCTGAGCTGCGCCGGTGCTGTTTGTACCTTGATATGAAATAAAGTATATAATTTTCTCTTATTGGCGTCCCGCGGTGCTGTCACCGTGTGTACCGTCACAGCACGCTGTTATAAAAGAAAAAAGAAAAAAGACAAGCCTTTGAAATCGCTGGTGATGAATTGTAACAACAGCAGCATCCACACGCCGCCATTGATCTCAGGAAAATGAGGGATGTGGTTACAGGTAATTGAGTAGCTATTGAAGCATATGGAATAAATCGTTTGGAGGAATGTCATACGGCAAGGACACACACACACATTCACATACACACAATGTACACACACACAAATCTGCAATGGCAAATGAGGGACAGATGGTGTAAAAGAAGACATTACAGGAACAATCAACACTTATTGTTACAGTTAATGACCTGTTTACTATTTGAATTGAGATGTGTTGCACATTTGTAATAATGCTATAAGCTAAATATATCAATAACAGCTGTATTATTCATTTCACAACTAGGCTCTATGGACCTGTTTTTTTATTTGTTTCATTTTATTATGTGTGCCTTACGCAACTGTCTTCTGTTTCTGTGCTTGTTTGAACAGACTGGATGTGTTTTTCTTTGTCTGTGCTACAAGTCAGTCTGTTCTCCTGCAAACACAACTTAACCACTGATGTTAGCTCTTTGAAAGAAAAAATAACACCTTCAAAAAAAAAGCAACCTGCTTTTCTTCTGAGCGTCTTCTCCCTCTGACTGAAAAGTCTGGCCACCCTTGTGAGGTTTGTCACAATAAAGAGTTTTAAACTTTGTTGTGATATCAATACAAATCAAACAATATCGGGGAACTTTCCGTGTAGTGTTTAGTGCTCGAACCCTATGTAGGGAGGCTGTAGTCCTCTAGGTGGGCGGCCCGGGTTTTAGTCCAACCTGCGGCATGTTGCGCAGTATTGTATTAAATCGCATCACATGTTATATTATATATATCATATTATAAAAGTATCATATCATAGTGTATGTTACTGTGTAGAAGAGTAAATGCTCTTGAACAATCTGACAGAGACATATGGCTTGTGAATCGAGGATCTGTTTATTTCTCTCGGAGCAGTTCCTTTATAGCATCCCAATCATACTGTTAAAGGCAATCATCACACTGGGCAATTAGAACATGTGTGCTTTAAGACTATAAGACCATTTCCTAGAAGTTTCTTGGCCGGACAACTGGTCTATTACCAGGAAAGGGTGGGTGGGTATGTGTCCTATCAGCAGAGGCGCCGCTTTTCAGCAGGCAAAGCAGGCTACTGCTTGGGGCCTCAGACCAGTAGGGGGCCGCTGAGGGCTCACAAACTTTAAACCAAAGCAGTGGACCAAAATGTGTTAAATTTTGCAATGACAGTGGGAAACCTCCCTAAGGGGTTCCTATCTGACAGCAGTCACTCGTGTTGCTCTGCTTAGCCTTGTGTGCATTATTGCTGTGAAAACCAAAATTCACCAGCTTATTAATAAAGAGAAATGAGGAGGAATTATCCGTCTACAGGAGAGAAAAAAATATACAGTAGTAAGCGTCGGGACACTGGCAGACATGACGGTGATGAACGCTGGTTGGAGGGCCCCCTAAGTGACTTTTGCCCGGTACCCACCAGACTCTAAAATCGCCACAGCCAATCAGTCTGGTTTCTATATTTGTCCCATGAATTAAGAATCTTACCTGGTATCTGGCTCAAAAAGCTGTAAATATTAAAGTGTTCTTTAGTTTTTGCTTGACATTCTTCCTGTTTGAGGCTTTGAAGTAACCAGCATGGACGTGTGTCATGACATCTTCATGAACATTTGGGCCAACATGTTGTAAATGGACACAACATGGAGGCAAAGTATGCCTTGCTTTGGTATGCCAATAAGGAACCATGTCGCCTCTTAATAATCAAAAAGACATCAACAACGCACACAAACATACTTACTGCTTATCCACTTGGCGTTGGGGTCATGCACCTTGAAGTCTTTTCTAAACAGGTCTCCAACGGACACCTTCCCTTTCAGAGCCAGGCGGTCGTCCTCACCTGCAACGGAAACAATCACATCATCAGCATAAAAAGAAACTTGCTGTGTATGAATAGCGTAACATAATATTTTACTGTACACAGGTTTTCTTTTCATACTGGAGTGAAAAAGGCTTTACAGGCTTATACAACTCCACAGTACAAAGGTCCGACATGACAACGTTCCCTCTTCATATGAGAGGGAGGCTGAAGGGGAAGTTCATATCAGCAGGTCAGGTTTTTTTGGAGTGAGGCTTCAAAAAGAAACCCAGTTTAAAATAAAAAATAACAGGTGAAACAACTAAAAGCAGACATTTTCACGTGGAAAGAAAAGAGAAACAAAGATACGATTTTCTGGCTACTTCTGACAACAAAAACTATGAGAATATATAATATCCTCTCTTGACATGTTTTCATCTCCAGCTCTATCTTCTCTTACAACTTTTCCCCCCTACATGCTGCAACGATGCACCTTTGAAGGAACGAAGAAAAGAGCACCGCTAAGATAGAGAATAAAAACACATTATTACAGAGCTTCATCTTAAACTCCCTCAGGCCTTTGATTAGGACGAGTGCAGCTTCTTATCATCAGACCAGGCGCACATATTTACAGCACATGCCTCCTGCAATTCATTTCAGGCTAATTTCATCCATCAGTGCTCATCACATCACCTCCTGCAACGTAATGTGACTCATTTCACCTCTGTAGACATGGAGGGAGGATGACTAAGCAAAAGGTTGTGTATCAGGAGCCTCTTTGTTTTTTTTATGTTTGTTTTCCTCAAGGCTTTTATTTCTTTTATAAAGCACTTGTTGTAGAGACTTGAAGTTTTCACATTTAAGTCTGAAGTTTCAGTTTTAGGGAACTTTAGGCTCAACTCTGACTTCAGAAAGGTTTTGCAGGATTCGCTCGGGGACCCATCGACGAGACATGGCAGTTGATGGACACGCTGGTTGCTACGAGGATCAGAGCAGTTATATTTTAGCTGCAGACTGTCTTTGTAATGTGTCATGTTTAATCCCTCTGCTGAGCCTGTCTGAGTTCAGGCCAAAGCTTTTTTTAATGTGTGAGGTAGACATTTTTCTGGCTGCAACAGTATCAGATTTGTTTGTTTAAATTATATGCAGCTGAGACATTTCAAGAATCCAGCACGAAGAAATTCAGCCTTAAAAAAACCTACCCAATTCTTCAATTAATTTAGCAGACGTTTTATACATCAGAGATTAGGTACAACACAAGCAAGGATCTATAAAAGAGGAAACAAACGAACAGCTTTAAGTCTGATCAGACACACAGGTGCTGACAGGATGTGCACAGAGGCAGGGCACATCGACAGCTGTTCTTCAGAGTTCTAATCAGCATCAAAACCGTCCTAAAGTCATCATTATCAAACAAAACCATCATCATCATTATTGTCATCAATAATATCATGAAGTGCGTAGGTGTTCATGAAAGAGCTGGGTCTTTAGCTTTTTTCTTAAAGGTGCAAAGGGACTCTGCGGATTGAATGGATTTTGGAAGTTTGTTCCACCACCGGGGGGCGACAGAGGAGAAGAGTCTAGTTAGAGTTAGAGTTTTGGATTTAATTAAAAAACTTCTAATTCATTTTTGAAACATCACCCACTGGTCTAAGCTAATGTTGTTCAAGTTGGGGGTCCTGATCCCCAAGGGGTCGCCAAGGATTAAGCGGGGAATCGTGTTAACTTAAAGGTCACATTTCATACTCCTTTTTTAACAAGTTTAATTAAGTCTCAGAGGTCCTCAAGACATTTTCTGAAAAGTGGAGAAGGCAAAAGACTGAGAGGATGATGGACTCATAATTGGGGGATTTGTAGAAAAGGCAAGGGACACAAATTAGTGTTAGAAAACCATCGTAAAGTGTATTTTGCATTGCATGTGACCTTTAAACGAGGGGGAAAAAAGAACACAAAAATCAACAACTGACATTATTTGTAACAGCAGCATTCTAATGTGCATCTCCTTTGATGTTGAGAATTTCATCATATTGTATTTTTTGTGTCCTTTCTACTGCCAATTATTTCAATGTAAAATATAAAACACACACCACTATAGCCAATCAGATTCGAGCAGCCGCTATGAGTGACGCTGATGTATCAGAAAGTTGCTGTATCACTGAAAAAAAGCTTGTGTGCTCAAACAGGCGATTTTTCCCTTCATGACATCACAAAGGGCAGTAGCCCCTCCCCCAGGTGGGTGACACTCCCACAGCTAGGTGTTTGTTCTGCCCTCTGAGTCTGCCTTCTCACTGTAAACAATAGGACATGGAGCGAAAAAAGCCTGAGTTACATCCCCTTCCAGAGAGGGGGCGTGGTCAGACACCGCTCATTTGCATTTAAAGGTACAGACACAGAAACAGCCTGTTCTGAGCAGGGTTGAAATAGAGGGGTTTATAGGCATGATCAAATACAGGATCAGAGTGGATTTTAAGCAAGACACTTCACAGACAAGTTTTGGGGCGCTCTGAGACTTATTTAAACTCATTGAAAAGGAGGATAATATGCAACCTTTAAGTCCTTTCTACTGGGAACAACAAAAATAATTTAATAATATATTTTTCAGCTGATTGAGAATGTGACAATTTTCACATCACATCACCTTCAACAAATGTGTCTTTTGAAACTCTTCTTTTGTAGAGTTTAAAGCCTAAGCATCAGCAGGTAGACCATTATCTGACACAGAATAAAACTCATAATGCATTTAGGTGAGTTTATTAAAAACCCATGACCTGCTGTGCTGGTTCAGGGATGTCTGACTCACTAAACAATCATACAAGTGTGTTTTTCACATTTCAGTAGTTAATAACATGTATTATCACACACTTCCTCTGGTTCTGGTGAAAGCTTTTCACAGCTAGAGGTTATGTTATGACACAATCAAGCTCTAAAAGACCATTGTGAAAGTTGTGATGTAGGGGCTTGGTATAAAGTGGTTGAATGTGCCCGTTTATCCACCTTTTACATGATATGTTCAAGTGCCTGCCAGCACCTCTGTGACTGTGTGAAAGGATGTAAATGGAAATGCTATACATGGAAGTTTCTCACGGGCACAAACATTTCCATGATTGAAAAAAAGGAGAGCTCCAAATGTTTTCCTCAGCAACAACTTGAAGTGTGACCACTTCCTCTAATTTTAATCCGACACATACTTTGATCAGTGTGTCACAGCTGTCGGAGGAATCATCCTTAAAGAGCAGACGGAGAAAACAGGGGAGGTGCAGAAACCTAAAATGACACTAAACATCTTGGTCTTGTCAGTAGGAAAATGTCACATTACACACAGTTATGAAAAACAACAGTAACTGCATATCTTAAATACTAACACTAAAGTTAGTTATACTACTAATTTTGATGATGACATTTTAAGAGTAAATGTGAGAGAACTAACTAATCCAAAGTGTGATATTTTCTCGCTTTAGAGCTCTTGCTCCTGTCATTTTTGGCGCCCCCTGTAGTCAGTACATATCCTGTACAAGCGTATATAAAAACCCAGCAACGTATATCCTGCTTTCATTTAAAAGTCAAACATATCAAAACCTTTTTTTGCTGTAGAAGATGTAAAATAAACTGTTACATCTTTTCAAACACATTCACTGACACCAAACCCAAAGCAGCTATAACAAACTATAAAAACAACTTTATAAAAACAGTCAGTCTTTATGCTTATGATCTGGTTTGCTTTTGTAGGTCATAAAGAGGCATCAGTAATAATTCCAGTCTTTTTCATGACCAGTTAAAAAATCCTCACTGGAGCTTTAATGACTCAAGAGAATCTATCACCCACACAGCAATCAAATATTTCTATACATGTTGCGGACATCTGAGCACTAAAAAAACAATTTATCATAGAAACTCTCAGAGCCTGAACTGTCCTGTCCTGAAACTGCTGTTTTTATCAGACCATTAACATCTAAATATGTTTGATTTACAGATAAATAAAACAGAGAAAGCAGGAAATATTCACATTTAAGTAGCTGGATCTATTAAATATTCATTCCCAAAGTGACTTTTATCTTTTCAATTTGAGTTTCTTTTCAATATCGGAAAGAGGCGAGGCAAGGGAAGTTAATCTGCCTTGCACCTTTAAAGACTTAGGCAATAAAACGTGTTTTACATTGGACATAAAAAAGACTTTACAATTAGATACAAAAGGTGCACAAGGCCATTCAAAGAGGAAAATACACAGTAATGAAAAACTCAACTTACACTGAAGCTTAAATAGAATACATTGGAGTAAGAGACACAAAAAGTGACACTGAATGAGGCAACTACTAGACTATTGTATCATGACACAGGCTAGATTTAGTCCCAATTTTTGTTCTGTTTGGATCACAGGATACACACGCATGAGTGATTAATTCATCATACATGCTCTTTCATACAAGACGTTTCACTTCTATGCACATTTTTCCTTTTAAAACAAGACGGCATTAACATGAGTGATGGTTATGATGACTCATTTCTTGTGCTCTTAATCTAGTCCTACCACACATCAGTGCACGTTCATATAAGATCAGTGGAGTCTGATAAATACCGGTAATCTAAGCTTCTTCACCAAATCCAGTAGTTAAAAACTTGGAGTTCAGTTTTCTTTTACTCATTAAAGGCTTTCCATTTTTTAATAAAGTGCGTCAGCTGTGCGGGAGCAGCAGGAGGCATATTGTTCCTGACAGATGGACGGACACCGAGTGATCCTCGGTTCCTGCTCGGTGTCGTCACCGGGGGACAGAAACACCTTTGAAGGCATCTGCTCGGCGCCTCGCATGAGTTCGGAGTGTGATTATCAGAGTCAGCAGACCGTGTTCAGAGTGCACGACGGCTCAAAAGTGCACATAAGCTGGAGCCTCCCATCAGATGGAGAGCTTTAAGGGGGATAAATACTGAGGGTATAATCAGTGATGAACACAGAGGCTGCAAAAAAACTAGTTAAGTTTTCCATTCAGATTTTTTTTTTTTTTTTTTTTTTTAAAGTGCAGTGTGTTAAAGGAAAATTATTATTTTTGTGTTGTTAAGCATGTCTTTATCTCAGTCACTGGCAGGAACTTTGAAAAAGCCTCGGCAGGGTCAGCTCGATTCAGCAGTTTATATGCTAATGTTGCTCCAACTCTTTTTTAATATAACGCAAAGAGGGAGGGAGTTCAGATCGAACACGCAGTCCGGCAAAATCAAAGAGAATTGGATGGTCTCTATATGTGACTGCACTGTCACCTCACAGTAAGGAGGTCCCTGGTTAGAATCCACTGTCGCACAGAAGCCTCTCTCCCTCTGTGTGGAGTTTGCATGTTCTTCCCGTGCATGTGTGGGTTCCCTCCAGAGACTCTGGTTTCCTCCCGTTATCCAAAGACATGCTTGTTAGGTTAATTGGTGACTCTCAGTTGCCTGTTGGTGTGAGTGCGCATGTGAATATTAGTCTGTCTCTAAAGGTCAGCCCTGTCATTGACTCGGGAACAGTCCTTTATAATTCTCCCATTTCCTTGGTAACACAAGTGATGCTAAAAAATTGGCCCATTAAAAAGACAAAAAAAGTGACTGGGATGTAAATACACAATCATTGATCATTTTAGAATCATTATACATTCATACAGGGACAAAAAAAACAACTCAACCTGGTTTTGATCGCATGTGGGACGAGACAGTTGACTTTTTTTTTTTTTTTTTACTGTTTCAAAGAATAAAAGTTGGAAACTGAAGCACCACTTTCCTGCAGTAATCCGTACGACTGCATTCACTGAGCTGCATCTAATCAAGATAATGTGCGATCCTCCCACAGAGTCAGTCAGCTGTCACTCTGTCAGTCATCCTGACGCCTCGGGCTGATGAATACTGATTCTCAATGTGAACATCTGACCTAGTTACATTGATGAAGAAAACAGATCAACCTCTTGGTTACACGGAGCCATCACTTACAGCAGACACAGGTTGTCAGAGACAGAGAAGGAGACCGAGGCTTTTGTGTTTGTGTGTGCGTGCATGCGTGTGTGTGTTGGTGTGTGAGTGAGAACAAAGTGGCTGTCAGGAGCAGTTAGAGGCGGGTTTGTGTGTCTGGCAGGGGAGCATCCATCAACTAAACCCTCCAAACTGATTTGAGACAACATGCTAGCTCATAACTCCTCACATTAGCCTCAATGACACAGTTTGCTTCTCTTCCCTTCACTCCCAGAATGTTTGTCCTTGATGTGTAATTACAGCCACAGCACTTGCTCTGAAAAAATGCAGAAGTAAATAAGAAGAATCCTCCCAAAAGATCTCAAATTGTGCTACAAATTGTTAGTGATGTACCTCACACTCCTGGGCCCATTCACTCTGCAAAATCAGTTCCAATTCAGTTGTTTTAAGTCTGTAATTAAACTTTTAATGTCTTGCTTTCTTGCAAGGCAATCTTCAGCCTTCTTACATTTCTGTTTCAAAATCCTTTAAAGGAGTTTCCTTAAGGACAGAATCATATAAGCTGTTTGGATAAAATGTTAAAAATTAGAGTTTCCGGAGTAAACGTCAATCAATAATTTTTAGTTAATGCATTGATTGCATGTTATTTTGTCCCTTCCGGCACACCGTAGGTAAGCACACTGTAGGTAGGCTACCACAGCATCTCACTGTTGTCACAGTGATAGAAAAGAACAACATTGTTGTGCCTTTGAATGTCTCATTTCACTTTAAAGAAAACTGGCAGACGGCTGAGCTGATGAGTCAAAAGTAATATCCACATTGTGACATAAAACATTTGATTTTTTTACCACTTCCTTTAGCCGTTTCATTTACTTATCAATCCTTTACAAATCCCTTTTTTATGATTATGTTATTAACGTAACATTCTATCAACTTGAAGTTCCTTTTTTTTTCAAAATAAAACCAGGTTTTTATCCAAACAGGAAGTAAAGTAGTTTAAGACAAAAACCTGTTTTTGAAATGCAAAATAATGGAATTTTAAACATGCAATTAAAATGTGGTTACTAACCATCAACTATTGAAATGCATTGAATTTTTCGAGCAAAAAAATAAATTGATTGACAGCCCTATAAAATGAATCCTTCTTAAGTAGAAAATGTAGCGTCAGTTTTTAAAACCAATTTTTTCCGTTTTTGAAATAATGATCTGCAGTGATCATGTAATTGTGATATCTGTTTCTAGAGAGGTTTCTTTCTACAGTCAGTATTTAGTTCACAATCAAACATGGAGAGAATCTTGTGAAGAGGCAGAGATAGACATCTCTCCGCTGACAGGAGCCTGAATAGACGGCTTCACCACACAGAACAGAGAAGAATACAGCCACAGTCTGAATTTTTAGAGATCATAATCAGCAGTGTGTGACACACAATACAGCTTTTCAGTGATTTCTTTGAATTTGAATACCCTTCAAACCAAAGCTTCGTTGGCTCAACAAACAGGAAAAAATGATGCTCCCTTTACTAGGAACATTTCATAGACTGCATATAAGATGTGCCCATAGCTGCCAGAGATTTTGGTGCCATGTTTCTTAAAGCTCTCATTTGACCTTTTGGTATCCCTATCTTGTTTTTTTGGAACCAGAGGTGAGTGTTTTGAACTTAAGTCAATGCTGAGCCTCCTTCCTGATTAACAGGTCACTGTGTCAGTAAAATGAAAACAGTATACCCTTCTCCATCGTCCAATTTCCCTCTAAATGGGATCAAAATCTTCAATACAAACATAGTGCTGGATTGTAGAAGACTTGAAACTTGTAATTGAGACCAAACCTAACTTTACAGAGGTAATAAATCCTATGAGAAAAAGGAACACTCACTCAAAGACGTCTATAAAATAAGACTTCTGATCAACCACTGGTGTCGCCCCCTGGTGGCCATTGAAAGAATGCAGGTTTAAGGAACGTCAGCATTAGCTTCACTTTGGAACCTAGAAGCTGCATCTTGTTCTGCGGGATATGTATCTCAAAATAGAAAAGACAGACACATTGTGTAAAACATTATCTATTATGCCTCCAATTATTAAACGTGGGAGACTAAAATCAAATACGTAGGTGCTTAGAAAATGTGCTTCAGCAGATGTTCCAATTCAAATTCATACCTGGTTAAGAATTACACTCATATTTGCTTTTGATAACCTCCAAAAGTCCTTTGTTCCTGGGGAAAATTCCTGCAGCAGGAACAAAGCTTGAAACACAAAAACTCATTCCAGGAAAACAGACACAGACCGACAGTACACACAGTAGGCTGACAGGGTTGTAAAATTTTGAACACCAATTTGGATGTGTTCATTATGTGGCTGCTGAATAGCCCAGGTACAAATATAAGGAAGTGCAAGAGAATAAATTGGGAACCTTTTCCTTTAAACTCATCTCTAGAATCTAGGGATTTAATTAACAGTTCCAGAGCAAACAGGATAACCCAAAGAAAAGGTTACATAAACTGTCTGCGCACTAACAAGCCACTATCCTTGAGGAATGATTCATGGAGCTGCATTATCCTGAAGCTTTTCTCTAGGTGAGGATACCTCATTAATCCACACCAACTTTTAAAATCAGCATCTGACAAGGATATATACATATTTTAATATCCCATATAATACCAAAAATCCTCCACAAACAGCCTCTTTTAGAAGGCAGTCTGCTGGAGGCTTTACCGTTGCTGTAAGAGCCCGGCTTGTGCTGAGACTCGGAGCAGAACGGTGGTTCTGCTTGAGCAAACGCAGGGAGGGGACGGATTAGGACCAAGCACAAGCTGGAGGCACCACCTGCCCGGCCCTCCATTTTCCACCTGACTCCCGCTGGCCTGCCTTGTTTGGAAGCGGCACATTAAACAGAAAGAGAATCATCTGCGTCCATAACAAACACCCCGGGACGGGAACAGGTCACAGGCGGGAGGTGACAAGGCGTTTTAGGGCTGGCTGCTCCGACACCTGCCGCTGTGCCATATTTTTTGTTCTGACACCCGTATGGATCTCTTAGGATTATTCAAAAGAGGACTGAATTTCCTTTACAACCACTGACCCCACTTTGCTACCACACCTCGACGAAAGATTACGTGCAATTTTCTCCCTCAGAAAATCATAAACAAGGACGCAGTGATTACTGTTTTTGTACCTGAGTCACAGTGCACACATACCATCAGTTGTATTGACTGGTTTGCCACTGGCAGGCCCATTAAACCCTATCAAGCAGCTTTATGAGCCTTAATATAAACAGATGGCACTCCTGATTAAACTCTCCTGTAAATTTACAAACTGAAGGTCAAAGTTAAGATTCTTTAAAATACCTAAGAAACAAACGTGTGTGTGTGTGTGTGGAGGGACTGAGTGCAGAAGACAGACTGGGACTGTGTTTAAAAAAGAGAGCCATGTTGCGTGGGCCGACTTCAATGAGGTTTACTGACCTTGACTAAATGTGTGCGAGAAAGCCATCCATGCTGAAGTTATATTACAGCAAGTGACACAGCAAATATTGCACAAGAGCATGAACCACACACACAAGGACAGAGATACCGGCAAACACAAGCTCGCCTTTGCTTTGTTCATGTCAAGATTGATTGGGAAACCTAATGTGCATGTCTGTGCATAATAATAGCTGTGTAAACAGAGGGATGTGTGGTGTATGGTCTATTGACCCCCCCCCCTCCTCTCCTCCTCAGCCGTGTACCTGGTGTCAACAGGATGACGGAGGTGACGATCAGCGAGCAGATGACCAGAATGACAAGAAGGGCGATCGCTATTCCCTTCCAGTTCCTCTGCGGAGGGTTACTGCCCACCAGCTCCTGTGGGAAGAGAGGAGAAGAGACATGGTCAGAAACAACAACAAAAATAAATACTAATAATGTGGGAGAAAATCAGGAACATTTATGAGTGAAGAAGGATAATTTGAGAAACAGAAAAAGTAAGAGAGAGAATAAGAAAGGAGGAGATGCAGGAAATATCAAGAGGGGACTAAAGTGAAGAAAAGAGCATGAATGGAGAACTCATGGAAATCAACGAGAGTCAAAGTCGCTGCCTCTCTGCTCTCAAGGAGACACAGTGACAGAGGCAGCAGCAGCAGGAGGAGGAGGAGGAGGAGAAAGAGAAGCGGGTAGGAGGGGGAGAATTCTTAATGAGGCGAGCATCAGCAGCTATCACCCGCAAACGAATGTGACAGATAAAAATGGAGCTCACGACACGTTGGTGAAATTGCAAGCTTGACAACAGCTTGGCAACAGCAGAGAGAAAGCTTTGGGGGTCTGGGAGTTACGAGAAACCTTGAGGCGTTTTTTTTCTTCTTCTTCTATCTGATTAATTCAGAAAAGAAAGGAACTTATTGCAAATTAATCACGTAATAAACGAAAACGGAATATTAAACGATGAATATGGCATACGACAAAGTAACGCCTCGGGATATGAATAACAATAGTGTGAAAACAGCTTTCGGCTGCTTGATCATACCCAAATCGAATAATGTGAGAGTTCAATGCATTCGACAGATGGGGATATGCAGCAGGTGGCTTGATTCAGCAAAACATAGATGAGCCCAAGTTTGAACAATATATTACCTTAACTATTCAAGACAGTCCAGTGAAAAGATGTGGATGAGTCAGCATGTCCTTACATTAAAACTATTCAACAGCAAAATACTCTGACACAGTCCTGATTCTGGCTATGCTAACCAAAAGTAAAGACTGAGGCCCGCTTTGTTGTCATGATTTAAATACGACTTATAATAAGGAGTTCTCAAGTTTTTACTCTAAAAGTCTGAAAAGCACAAAATAAGAATTAATGAAGCAAGACGCTCAAGGTGACATATTCAGGGACCTTCGGCTTTAAGCAAGCTACCTTCATTGCCAGCTAGCTTAAGTTTCTCGCTTACAGTAATAGCATGACAGTGCGTATTTAGCTGTCCTGTTGACAGACAACAGCGTTCAAGAGTTATGTTTCTGGTCACTCAACAATTGGAAAATGATATTGTGTTTACTATTATCTTGTTTTTTTTTAATCTGTTTCAACAACTGGGGCTTCAGATTTGTTCATTAGTTGCTATGTTATCCGTTAAGTGCAGGGCAGGTAGCATATACTTATCAACTCAAATGTTGTGCATTACTGGGTTAAAGTCAAACTTAAGTTTTTACTCTTTATTAGTACTTTTATATTTTCTAAGTAGGACCAGAAATGTTTCAATTCCACAATTTAAATTTCAGCCTTTTTCAATTCCTGTTAACTGTCCTGCTTAGCTGCATTAGCATTTAAAAAACGTGTATCTGTTCTCCTAACAACTGTAGGTCTGTTATTACCTCTACTTTGGTTAAATGCCTTTGTTTGTTAGTTGCTAATTTTTCTGTCTGATGGTAAGTCATGTAGGCAGGAAACATACACAGTAGTAGTGATTATAGGTGCACTTAACAACCAAAATGCTGTGTACATTATGAGCTACTTTGCCCTTTCATAAATGCATTTGAACGGTTTCAAATCATTCTTGTGATTACTGTAGAGCTGCTAAACCTTCTTTATGTGTACCACCACTTCATTAGATTTTGTCAGAAGTTTTTCAATCTTGTGACCTTTAGCATGATGGGGCCATAACTGAAGCACAACGGGCACCCCTGATAGGACGGGGAATAAAAGTCCCATGACAATAAGGACAAAGCAATCCCTGAAAGGTTTCCACCTCAGGCCTGATTGGTGTGGCGAACACAAAAAACAAGCCACAACCAAGGGGGACTGGCTCAGAAAGGGTCCAAAGCTCATACTATTAGCGGAGGATTAATAAATTCTTAATTAGTTTATAGAGGACAAAAAGAGCGAGGCAGAGCGTCTGCTTTGGGGATCTGTGGCTGGGGCATTAATGAACACACGTTAAGACTTTAATGAAGCTGAATGGCTGAGCTATGAAGAAAACCCTTTAGTGACCTCGTTCTCACCTTAATTGAAAGGAGCCCAAGACATCATTAGCCTGAAGATAAGAGCAATCATGGCTATTTACCAGACTGCCCATTACTCACGTTCATTACAACAGCGACCAGTTAGTTAGCATTGTGGCCATAGAGCAGAGCCGTGACAGCCACAAGGAAGAGACAACATGAATATGTAAGATACCTTTTCAGTTTGTGAGTGTAGATGACGTGTGATGTGTTCTCAGTAAGAGGGTTCAATAAGCTTGTGACTCATACTGAAGAGGTAAACATGAGACAGTTGTGAATACGGACAAGCTGTTGGCTGCTGAATCATTTTAAAAATGCTCCAACTCTCAGTGGTGGCTTACTGGTTATGACAGTTAGTGAATTGACATTTATCTCTGGTAAAAGTTTAAAGTAAATGCCTCAATGGCAACCTGCAAACGTTACAGCCTCCATACACAGAGGCAGATTCTGCAAACCACTTTGCATTAAAATCCGCTTTCTGTCTCGTCGCCGTTGTTTCCTTCATGATGTGAGCTGGTGTATAGATCAGTGTTTTGAATGCTATTTCATAGTCGTTTACATTGTTTTGTTGGGTAGACAAAAGTCTGTAAAATCACACAAAAAACATACCCAGTCATGAGAACAGTTGTTTCTTTTGTGAAGACGTCGGCTCACAAAACATTATTTGTTAGCGATGAGCTGAGACCATACAATGGGATTTATTTCCCTCTAATTCTGCGCTGAGCCATTTCTCTTGAACAATCTGCAGAACTGAAAATCCCACTGGAGAGTTTTTTACGAGAGACTAGAATGAGCCCACTGCTGATTGTTTCTGCAGACACAGTTTGTGACTGAGGGGGATTTTACAGATAGAAAAGTGGTGACGAAATGTGCTATAAAGAGCAACTCCTTATGTGCAATAATGGGATGTAAAGTGAGCAAGACATGGTGCCCAGAGTGTGTGATACACAGTGAAAGAAGGCAGAAACCTTCATGCAATTCTGAGCTATGACACTTTATCATATTGTCTATGCAAACAGCTCTGCACTGTAGATTGTGGAAATAAAACTGGGCATGTATCCAACACAGCATCTTATATTTAACACTCCTATCTGATGGTGTTTGTGTGTGTGCGTGTGTGTGTTCATAATTGGAAATGCATGCTGTGGGAAAACTTAAACACTGAAGTACTGAAGTAGATGTGTTGTTGTGGTGGGCGATATGACCTCAGATTCATATCACAGTATTTTCCCCACACTGTTTGCAGTAACTGTATTATATCATGGTATTACTTTATTAAAAGGGATTGTGCATAAACTCAGATTGGTACTGTACATGTAAAACAACAAATATCACAGGGCTCTATCCATAACCAAAGGATTTATTCAGTCTACTTTCAAAGAGGAGTGAATGAAACAGGGAAAAAAAAAAAATGCTTGAAAATGAGGCCACTCAGTGAAGCATCAAACACTCACAGTTCATCACACATCACCAACTTATTTCAAGGTGAAAATATCTCTAATTCAATCTCTCTAGTTTTGCATTGAAAATCTAAAAAACGAGTGACCATTGGAACTAGGCAGTCTGTGCTTTCATATTTACATCTGTCCTGCACAAGTTAGATTGTCCAATGGCAGTAAATGCTCAGCTCTGTTACTGTAGGCACACAGACACACACACACACACAGACCGACACTCACACACTGTACAGATGCTGCGCGTCTGCGGCTTGAAATTGCTTCTGCAACAGTAACATCCGGCCTGCTGAAAGATCTATTGCGCTCTTACAGTGACTAAGGAGTCAATGTCAAACAGTATTTCCATATAGATCGCCATCTCCGTGGGAACATATTGACATTGGAAACTCTCCAGAAAGAAAAAAAAAAAAAAAAAAACTCTAAAGCTTCTTCTCAGCGAGCCAATGAGCTGCTTCATATGAGGAACCATGCTGTGCTCGGCTTGGGAGTGTAATAATAATCGGATCCCAAATAAGGCGGCCAAAAAAAGAACAAGGACACAAACGTCACAGAGTAATGATGTCCCGTCTTTTCTGTTCCAGGCCTTGGAGGTGTTAGAGCTCATTCCGAGTGGGTAAAAAGGTGCAGACGCAGGCAGAAAAGAAAAAAAAAAACCCTTGCCTATAACCTTCCTGATCATGCCTCTCTGATCTGTAATTATAATAATGATTGAACTAATTAGCTAGACCTTATGTGCCGGGGTAATGTCGGGGTGATTACAAGTGACTGTGGCAGAGGAGAGATGAGGTTTTAAGACGAGCTGAGAGGAGATAAGAGATCAGAGCTTGCAGCAGGACCAGTAAATAAATAACACTTTTTTTGGAGTCTGCAGGAGGATTCTCTGACAGGAAGAGCTTGAGGCGTGACCAGAACATGACAGAAAAGAGAGAGAAAAACATAAAGTAAAAACTGTGGATGGATTCAGGTCCAAACTGGAATAAACACAAGGCCTTGCTGTTTCTTGGCCTCAGTAACTGTCATGTTTAAGTCTGCAGAGCATGCAGACGGTTCATGAGTGCTGATTCCCCCCTGAGCGTGTGAAAACTCAGCACTATGCAACAGTCTGTCTCAGGGAACAACAATGAAATACTTAAGACACTTAAAGAGGTCTGACTTCCCAGAGATCTTCCATCTCTTTTCACTGGGCTAGCTTCAGATTGTGCACGCATGGAAGCGACCTGCAGGATGACCACACTCAGGTACAAACCACGGGAATTATTAGCAATGCAAAACCCCTTTTCCACAGCAAAAGTAGCCTCAATCACTCAATGAATATAAAATGTTCGTATAAAAAAGTAAACGCTCCCTGTGTGGTCTAAAAAAACTTGTCTTGCTGGTTATTAATGAAACATAAAAGCCCTTCAGTCGCTTCGGCTC